ATAATCATAGAACTATACCAATCAGCGCAACTTTTGTCCATGAATAGTCTGAGTATCTCAATTTTTTCTCATCTTCCGTAATATCGAAACGTAAACATTCTTTTTCAAAAACATCAATCCACTGGCTTGGGTTAGTATTTTTACTTGTAAATCTTTCAATTATAAACTTTTCTGCAATATATTTCAGGTTCTGTTTTTTTAAATCTTGTGAGCTTTCAATAAATTTTGTAAATAATTTTTCCAATGAATCTGTATTTTTTCCTAAATTACCAGATGCTTGCTTTTGTTCAATTTCTTCGAGATATTGATCTCCAAATTGTAGATTACCATCTTCATCTATGTACACGTTACTTAGTTCATTTGTCATTGTAATCCAAATTTTTCTCGTCTGATGTCTTTTTTTTTAAATATTTTTTATTTTATTGTACGCAGCTGTCTTTATCAACTCTTTATGAAGACTAGCAGACTGTAATTCTTCTGGAATAGCAAACACTTTTTCATCTCTTGTCGTTATGGAGGTTACACAATAAACATTTGACTTTCCATCACTCGCTGGCAACACTGCAAATTCAAATCGTAGCTGGTCCATTTTATAATTCATTTAGGTTTCTCAATAAACGGAAATGTCGTTTTATAAGAGTTTCGATTATAATTTATGATTCAAACAAACAAATGTGTTGCTTCTGAAAACAAAGATTTTATTTTGTTAAATGTTAAAAAAAATCATTATTGGAGAATTACCCTGTTGCAAAATTCTTGAACAAAATTTTAACCCCATATATTCCAAACAATTACATACTACAATCTTCCCGTGAGTTTATTAATCTCCTCAGCATTAATAAACCATCCAAATTTATTGCCACTCTGGATGTTGAATCATTATTCACAAATCTACCAATTCATGATACAATTGACATAATTATCAACACCGTTTACCACTCAGATATGGTTCCATTGAACATACCGAAAGCACAACTGAAGTCACTTCTTCAAATATGCACTACTGAAGCACCATTCCACAGCCCCACAGGCAAACTTTACAAGCAAATCGATGGTGTCGCTATGGGTTCCCCCCTTGGCGTCCTATTTGCCAATTTTTACCTAGGACAGCTGGAGAATGAAACATTCAAAAACAATGCAAATTTAAAAACAAATATCTACGCCAGATACGTGGATGATATCTTTGTCTCCTATAACGATCCTGAACAAATCACCCAACTTCTTGGTATCTTAAACAAATCAAAACTTAGATTTACCATTGAAATTGAAAAGGAACAACGTTTACCTTTCCTCGATGTGGCGAAGAACGATTCAAAACCGCGGTCTATGTCAAAGAAAGAATACAGTAATTTGTTTGAATGGACAAAGAGAATGCACCGAACAATTTAAAGACAGCACAATAAAATCATTTGTAAACCGGGCATTCACACACTCTTCCGATATTGAAAATCGCGACGCTGAACTAAAAAGAGTCACTAACCTGCATGTAAACAATGGATATAAGACTTACTCTATTGAAAAGATTGTTAAAGGCAAATTACTACACAGCAATAACCTTCCTAGTACCAACAATCAAGATAACGACATCATCTTGTATTACAGAAATCACATGCCAACTGCATACAAGGTAGATGAAGCTATTCTTAAACATATCATCAATAAAAATGTCACACCAACCAACCTAAATAATAAAGTTAAACTCCGGATTTATTACAACAATAAAAAGACGTCTCACATAATACTGAAAAACAACTGCAGTCCTAGAGATAACTCTGAGTTAAAGCGTAATCACGTAATATATGGATTTAATTGCCCCTCTGACGGCTGTGCACGTCAACATGACTCATACATCGGGATTACTACTACCTCACTGACTAGAAGGCTTACGATGCATAAACAGAGTGGTGCTATCAAATCTCATTTGGACTCAACACACTCAATCACAATTAGCCGTGAAATCCTCGACAGCAACACCAAAGTAATATACCAGAACAGCAACTACACGCATCTTAAAATTGCAGAGGCAGTCCTAATTGACATCAATAAACCAAAAATAAATATACAACAAAAAATAAAAACCTCACTTCCAACCCGGCGCTTAACCAACAACGAAAACAAAGAAGTAATAAAAACTAGCATCGCAAAAAGTGACAAAGAAGAATATGATGCTATCGATGAAGAAAAGGAGACCAAAGAAGATGACCAGCCAATAAAGAAACCTGACACCTAATTCGCATCAAAGTTCAATTTTACAACACCAAAGTTAATTTTTACAACGTCAAAGTTCATCTTGACAATATTTCCCTATATATACAGCAAGGAGCACTGATGATGATTCATTTGGAATCGAAATATGGCCTTATTTGCAGCATGAATTCGAAAAATAAGTTTATTTTGAATTTTAATAAACTAAATGTTCACCAAAAAACGTTGTTTTCTTTGCCATCAACTTTTTGCGCCAAATTAGACGATCAGTTGTATCCATTTAATTTAAACTTAGAGCTTTCATGTCTTGCTCGATTGTTTGCGACCAGGACTTCTTTGGACGGCCTTTGGGACGTGTGCCAGGTACTTCAACATCTGCAAGAAAAGTTATGGCACTGTTTCCACTTTGTTTGACATGACCAAACCACCGCAGACGGTGTTGCCGGCATTCGTCCTTTATATCATCTAAACCAGCACGACGCAGGATTTCGGTAGATTTGATGTGGTCTTTCAGACTAATTCGTTGCATCCATCGGAGCATTTTCATGTCGGTTCGTTGAAATTTTTGTTCCAGTTTGGTTGTCATTTGCCATGTTTCTGCACCATATAACAACACCGGACGTATCACAGATTTATAAAGTATTGATCGTAGTGGTAGAGGAATGTCACGCCGCATCAATATAGAGGTAAGGAGATGCCATTTATTCCAAGCTGCACCTATGCGTGCTCGAACGGCAGCTTCAGCTGTTCCAGTACAATCCAGAACATCCCCTAGATATTGAAACGATGTGACTTTATCTATTTTAATGGCTTCAAAAACAGTGCTATTTCGAATTTGTTGTTGTGGATTGATGCAAGCAGGACAAACAAAATTGGACATTTTAGATAAAGAACCAATTATTTTTGAACAACGTTTGTGACACCACTTGTTACACTGCTGACACTTGATTGAATTGTTACCTTCACCAGCTTTACAAACTCAACAGGGCCATCGTCCAGTAGCTGTGGATTAGATGGGTTCACCAGTGTTCATTGCTTTGGTTTTGCTGATGTTGACTTTGAATCCATGATCGGCGAGTCTGGTGTTCCAATCTTCAAACATCTGTGCTGCATTCTGCTCAGACATGGCTGTTAAAACGATATCATCAGCATATACTAGATTCCAAATGTCACCAGTGCGTATCGGTTTTGTGATTTCTTCCATCACAGTTATAAATAACAGTGGACTGAGAATCGAGCCTTGGTGAACTCCAACACCGATGTCAAATGCATCTGTGTTTCCAACCGTTGTGCTGACGAGAGTCTTAGTATTCGTATACATTTCCATCACAAGTCGAACAAGATATTCTGGAATGAGTTGTCGACGTAGACTCCACCTGATTGCTTCACGGGGAACTTGATCAAATGCTTTTTCAAGGTCTACAAAAATGTGTGATAGTTGTTGATGCTTTGCGAGGTACTTCTCTTGCAGTTACCGAAGGATGTGAATTGCATCAATTGTTGATTTCCCCGCTAGAAAATCAAATTGATAATTTCCGATTGTGATGCACGACGTTAATCTTCTCTCAATGATTTTCTAAACAATTTTCAGGGAGTATTCTAACAGACGTATACCCCTGTATGATGAACAGTTCAATGGATCACCTTCATTCAGTTGGCATTGAGCAATTTCTCCAGATTTCACTGCAAAGCTGTAGTAACGTTTGGATACCTGCAGTACCAGGTGCTTTGATAATGTCATTTGTGAGTCCAGAGGGCCCTGCTGCCTTTCCATCCTTCATAGCTTTCAGAGCTTCTGTAAGCTCCTCTACAGTGATGTCTGGAATCGGACCTTCGATGGGTGGAGCGTCAAAGTTAACATTGATTGGATTTGTTTCGTTTAACAGACGGTTGAACGAAACAACCACTGTAGCTTGATCTCATCTCGTTCAAGAACCAGATCATTTTTGTCATTTTTAATACATAAGGCACCAACTATGTCTTTTTTGCTTGTTTTGCTATACGATACAGAGAGTGAGCCACTCTCTGCACTGATCTGTCCGAGCCAGTGCAACTTGACGTCTTGCATAGTTGTTCTTCTCACGAAAAATTTTATGGTCATCAACAGTCTTTGATTTTTGCCATTGCTTGTATGCAACTTTCTTTTCAGCTATTGCATTTTGTACACTGTCATTCCACCACCAAGTGTCACGTTCATGCTGACGTTTTGTACCAGTTTTCCCACAAACTGTAGTTGCAGCGTTCATTAAAACGGTTTTGTATGTACTCCAATCTGTACTGGCTTGCGATTGGTGGTCTAACTGTATGGCGACAATCTGTTGAAATTTTTCTCGATGAATATTGCTTTTCAGCTTCCACGTTTTGATTCTCCGAGGCATTTGTTTAGACTTATGTTTTGACAGTTCGACAATCAGGTCTGCCACAAGGAGTCTATGTTGGGCGACACATGATTAGCCATGTATAACTTTGACGTTTTTGAACAGCCTTCGGTGTTGTTGCTTGACAGCGAAGAAATCAATTTGCGTGGCTGATGGTCCACTTTTGTATGTTATGAGATGTTCCAACCTCTTTCTAAAATATGTGTTCAGTAAACAAAACCCGTGACTTTCTGCAAACTCAAAGATGCGGTTGCCATCTTCATTCCGTTTTCCATAGCCAAAACCGCCATTTACGTTGTCAAAACCATCTGTTTTCTCTCCAACGTGGCCATTGAGATCGCCTCCAATCAGGATTGTTTCAGATTTTGGTATTGTTGAGATGGTGTCAGAGAATGCAGTCCAGAAGTTATTTTTCATCTCTTCTGATTCGCCTGTCTGTGGTGCGTATGCAGAAAAAATAATCAATGTTTGCTTTTCTATGCGAAGCTTGATCCACATGAGACGTGAACTAATCTTTTTAATATCCAGTACTTCTTGGGCTAGCGGTTCTCTGACAAAAATTCCAACACCATTTTTGGCCGTCTTTTGACCATTCCAGAATAATTTATATTTTTCTTTGTCTGAGTTGACATGACAGACACCATTCGATTTCCATCGGGTTTCCTGAAGGCAGCAGATGTCAATCCTTCTACGCTCGAGCATTTTTGCGATTTCCATGCTGCGGCCAGTCAGTGATCCAACATTGAGCGTTCCAAGTCTAAGTACCATAGAGGGGCCATTCTGAATTTTTCTGCAACATCCCTCTGCTATACTTCCCAGGGATTCTTGGCACCCCTTGACCACTTAAGGCCAGCTGCGGACTAGGGGCCGTTGTTTTTCTTTGTGATGGCATAAGAATAATTTGGGGAAAAGTTTTTACATCCGGACACCCATCCTGACGACAACCACTAGTTATAAGCGGTGGGCCTTTCGCTCAAAAGCACGCAAGGCAGCGTGGATGCAGTTTTAAGTCATACTCAGGACCAATAGTATAATATGTAATAATATAATATATATATATATACACATAAAATAAAATAATAATAATAAAATAAATTAAATAAATAGTAAATAAGTATACCTAAATAGAAATTCTATAATTAAACAAACCCCATCACATCATACATACAATATGTATAGACACAATCGTAACATGAAGTGGAACAAACAGATACATAATTAATTAAATAGATAAAACAATAAATAAAAGAAAAACTTCAGTGACATAACGGTATCATAATATAAATTGAAATAAAAATATACAGTATTTTTTAATTATAATAAACAACCACAAACAAAATAATTAAGTTAATGGCAATCATTCTGCAATTGTTCAATAATAATTAAACAAACATATAACGTCCAACAACATTTACTGTTTACCATTTATAACAATCATATTCAAATTTCATTCCACAATCTAACGACCTTGATTTGTAAAATAAAACTTTCTTTGATTTTTATTGAAAAGTTTAACTTTGAGCTTTAATGGCCTCTTGTTCTGTTGTCGTTCACCTTTTCAATGACAGGATGACCAGCATCAGATTCACTCTTCAACATATTAAAAAGTTGAATCATATCTCCTCTATTTTTACGGTATGTCAATGTGGGCAGATCAAGATGTTTCAGTCTTTCCTCATACTTTAAATTGAACAATTCTTTACCATTTTTGTGGCCCTCTTCTGGACTCTTTCGATATCTTTTATTTCTTTTATAGTCCACGGTCTTCAGACACTCACTGCATATTCCAAGTTTGGTATAACTAAACCCTTGTACAAATTAAGAAGGAAAATTTGTTTAAATTACGAAAATTTCTGTATATTATGCCTAGAATCGAAATTGCTTTGTTAATTGATTCATATATCTGAGATGTAAATTTCAATTTACTATCAAATAAAATACCCAAATCCCTTACTTCTTCCTTGCTTTCTAAATACTTATTTTGAATATTGTAACCCATGCCCAAATCTACGTTACCCCCTAGTCTCGTAACAACACACTTATCTATGTTAATACTAACCTTCCAAAGATTACACCAATCAACAATTCTGTCTATAACATCTCTGCAAGCTAATTACATCCTCTTCTTTCTTTATAGGTTTAAACACTTTAGCATCATCTGCATAAAGGAACAGGTTTATATCATTGTCTCCATCGCAAACACTGAGCATATCGTTAATATAAACAATGAAAAGCGTAGGGCCAAGAACACTCCCCTGTGGAACACCACTGGTAATCTGATATTTTTCTGACAGACGATCTTCTACTTTTACCGAAAAAGTTCTATTTTTTAAATAATATTGTATCCATCTAATCAGCCCATTACTGACACCATACGTCGCCAACTTTTTAATAAGCATCTTGTGTGATACCTTGTCAAACGCCTTTTCAAAATCAGTATAAATTATATCAACTTTGCCACCTTCATCCAATACTTCCGTCCATATGTCCATAATTTTCAAAGTTGTATCACCGTAGACTTCTGCCTAATAAATTCATATTGTCTGTAGTCCATCAACTTTTTATCTTCAAAATGTTTTATCAACGCATCCTTGACAAATGACTCCGACAGCTTACAAACAACACTACTCAAAGTAACAGGTCTGTAATTGCGTTTATCAGTTTTTTCTCCTTTTTTGAAAATAGGCGTAACAATACTGTGTCTCCAAGCGTCCTGAATCAATCCATACCTCAAAGAAGCATTAAAAAGTTGACAAAAAAAAGCTAATCGAAGGACAAAATTCTTTCAAAACTCTGTTGTGTATGCCATCTGGTCCAGCTGGTTTGTTCAATGCAAATTTGTTAAAACGTTGTGCTATCTGTTCTTCATTAACAAACATATCATTTTCCATATCTGGCAATATATCAACGTCTGGTACCATGCCCTCATTATCAACATCAACAATATAAATGAACTGAAAAATGATCCCAAACAATTTGCCTTGTCCAGATTGTTTGTTATTAACATATCTTCATTAGCATCCTTGTTAACTATGCAATCAATCGTCTGTTTATTCTTTCTTTTTCTATTGATATGTTGTCAAAAATCTTCAAAAATCAATGAATCACGAGTCTTCATGTATTTTTTCCATAATCTTTTCTTTATTTTTATCAATTCTTGCAACGATTTACTGATTTCACCTTTACAACTGTTCTTTCCCATTTTTACTACTGGAATATGTTCTTCAGTTGCCCTGTTTATTACACTTGAAAAATGACACCATAATGAGTTTACATACGATCCTAGATCCGCCACTGACAACTCCTTATTAAGCATACCGTATAAATTTTTATGAAGGTACTTGTTCATTAACTCATAATCGCCTTCGTTAAAATTCAATCGGGTTTTATTTATTATTTCACGAGCACCATCAATGGTCGAGCCCACCTCAAAACACAGAATGCAGTGGTCACTTTTACCAAGAGGGGGCAGGTGAACAAGATTTTTAATCTCATCTAATTCTTCTACCAATATCAAATCTAGAATATGATTAGCCTGCAGAGATCTAAACCTAGTGGGTTCTTGTACAACTTGATGCAAGAACAAATCTTTCACCAAATTCACAAATATTTTCTCAATTGACTTACTTTCAGAATTGATTGATAAAGTACCCCAATCAATTCTGGGATAATTAAAATCCCCTACAATATATTTAAATCCACGCAATTTCATAAATGCTTTCAAAACTAATATCTTGTTGGTATTATTATTGCTACAAGAATGAGGACTCCTATATATAATTAAAAATAATATATCTTTATTATAATTACTAATTTTAAAACACAAATATTCATAAAAATTTATTTTTAAATCAATTCTATTGACAATTAAATCCAATTTTATATAACAAATAATACCTCGAAATTTTTTCTTCATAAAATTAGCAGATTCAATTTTGAAACCTCTTAATGCAATCTCATTCTCATTAATTTCAGTTGTAATATTTTTTAAATTAGCCTCTGTGAAAATTAGAATATGTTTATTTAAAATTCCATTATCAATCAAAACCCTGATCTCATTTATTTTGTTCATTATTGTGTCAACATTTGTATATGCTATCCTAAGATGAATTTCTGTAACTTTCAGTTTAGCATTAATATTACTTCCCTTCCCCCCAAAATTATCCGTCCTATTAAAATCTACTTCCGTTTCTTTATTTTTTCTACTCTCAACTGTCCCGGAAGTCCTCTCACACGATATATGTATTCCCCGACCGATATATATATATACATGTGTGCGTGTGTGTGTTTTACTTTTTAAGGAAGTTGATAGATAAATTTACAATTATGTAAATCAAATATTTTTTTCAGTTATACAACAAATAAACAAAACCAAAATCCAGAAATAAAAAAGGTAGGACTGATCTAACTTGACTCATCATGAATAATTATTAATTATAGCAAAATAGACGTTTTATAATCAACAAGCAAGAAATATAACAATTTACACATAAATATAATAATATTCTCATGATCTAGCACCTTCAGGGTTATTTTATAAATAGTAATGTTAAACTAAAAATTACTAAACATTACATACCTATTCTATTAAAAATCAACAGTTGTTCGTTTTAAATTAATAGCATAATGAATTTGATGTTAACTTTTAAACTATTATTATTTATTTAATATATTAATGTCAATTACAGTTGAAATAGTTGATGAATTTGATTTCAACTTAAATTATTATATAATTTATTTAATATATTAATAAATAATATAAATCATAACATTTAAACAGAAAAAAAAGATTGTTTGCTTTTACTACCAAAATAAATTTTAAAAACCTCCTGTGTGATTAAATTTGGTTTGGGTATGTGATGTTGAAAGCTTTGTACTGTAAGCTTTGTAGTGTTGAAAGATTCTAGTTTAGGACATATGCACAGGAATTACATCTTAATTTAAAAATTATTAGTTGATTAATTTATTTATAACAATATAAAAATTATAAATTCAATAAATCCTCATTTATAACAATATAAATTGATTATTAGTTTTATTTTTTAAATATTAATATTTCATTTTTATAATAAAATTTTTACCAATTTCTTTTCGTTTTCTAGATTCTAATTTAGTTTAGGAATGATGAGAGCCTTACTCTAATAATGAAATGATATGAAGTAAATGAAGTCCATCATCATCATGATTCGTGGGTGCTGGGAGAATGAATGAAGAAATCTTTATTTCAGAAAAATGGGATCACTAACGAACTTATTATAAATCTTCGAATTTTCTGATGCATCAAAAAATGCAATATTCATTTAACGATTAAATATGGTTATATAAACCTTATAAATTAGCCTAAAACTTCACGAAATGTTGAAAACGAAATAAATTTTAACAAACGAGTTGCATGCAGATAACATTAACATAAATAACTAAGTCATTAAGTCATAACTAAGTCATTAACATAACTTCGGAAAGGCCAAGATTTTTCTAATTATATCTCTGGTGTCTCGTGGCCGAGTGGTTAGCGTGTCCGTCTACCACTCCCACGACCCGGGTTCGAATTCTGCAGTTTCTACAGGTTCATCCGAGTAGCCGACTCCCGGTCAACCCAGCCGAGGCTGGTAAATGGGTAGACAACGTAAGTTGTCGCATGTTGGCCGACAAGATGGCTCAGTGGTTCAAATGCGCGCTGATTCAAACATCTCAATGGCTATCATATACTCAGCGTATATGATGCGGTGCTTGCGCGTGCACATAAAATACATGTGTACGTCGTGTGAAAAGGATAAACAGCCTTTGTAGCTAAGATGGCTGTTTCATATCATTGGATGAAGATATGAAGAACATAATAAAAGATATACAGATAATAAACCTGTAACACTATTATTATACAGATAATAAAACTGTAACACTGTAAGAGGTTCTGCGTATGTCAGAGCTGCAATAATAAAGACTAATAAAAAAAAAAATCTCAGAATCTAAAAATGAACCAAAATGCACATGAATTATTAATTTTTTAGGAACTTGCCTCCAGAGGAAGCTTGCCCGTTGAAAAAAAATTTCAATGTTAAAACGCTGGTAGGTCGCTTCCAGTTATATAATTCCATGGTCGGTAGAGACGAAAAAAAGCAGCTCGGACGATGATCGCTAAGCAACCGGTTAAAAACTGATTGTTTACTTTAACTTAAATTCACTTTTCAACAAATATTGCTATTCTATGTATCAAATTTGTTAGATTCACTTTGATGTTATATATATATATATGTGAAATATATATATATATTATATATATATATATAAATAACACGTCTGCCATATCCTTATTATATATATCCATGGTTCAAAAAGTCCATTGAACCCATGGATATATATAATATCCATGTTTTGAACGCTGGATAGCAGGAAATGGCCTCCACTTCTATGAGTCGCAAATGTTCAATCAGGTCTTCCCTAGCACATCTGGCAATGTTTCTGATATGATAGAATTTTTTACTTGGGGCATTAAACTACTAGCTGCAATTTTCGAGTTTTGAGGCAGTCTACGCCCAACCAAATTTTTCACATTCGACCTATTATGCGAAGGTGGATCAGCACGCCTTTTTCTGTGCATTTTATAAGACTATGAAGCATTGAATTTAACTTAAGAATCGAACTATAGAACTGTACTTTACATACATAAATTATAATGACATATGATGTGGTATGAAAAAATATAAAATAAATTTAACAAAAAATTTAAATTATACAGCATAATATAATATATATATATATGAAATAATATTTAATAATTAGATCATTTAATTTAAAAACATTTAAAAATACGTCTTCCATACTTTATATGCCTGTCATTAAAAACGATAAAGTTAGTTACGAGCTGAGTATGTCGTTGCTAGGTGATTTTCATGTTCTTTTTCATTTGACACTTTTATATTTTTGGGTTTACATTACATTTCGTGCGAGGCTACGTTGTTACTTCGTCGGCAGTAAATACCGCTGCATATATTTAGAAAATTTACTGGGTCCGTATAACGTAAGTTAAATGAATACCGCGAATTTTTTTACATCGCCAAAGTTTACTAGGTAGGTCCGCGGTAAATACCGCAACGTGTTTTCTTATTTAATCGATTGTAATTACCGTTGCGTACAAAAAATAACTAGGCCCGCGGTAAATGCCGTGGTTTCTCCGGCGAAACGTATTGGACGCATAGCCGTTAGTTGCAAGTAGTCCTGGGTTTTTCCGGCATTATCTATTTTTAGTTTACTGTTAAAGCCTAAGAAGACATATAAGCTCCTCCCACAAGTTCAACTAAAAGTTATAAGATGCAATTTAGTTAGGTAAACCGTGTTTCGCATGTATGTTTTTATTTTAAAAATTAAAAAAATTTTTAAAACTATATCGCCTATATTTTTTACTTTAAAAATTTATAATGTTTGAAAAATAAGTTTAAAGAGAAAAGACAGTCCGTAACGGCAATAAACAAATGTAAAAAGTTTTTTAGTTTATCCCATGAATATAATAATTATTACCTGCCTAATGATTTTTTTTTAGTTCCATGGAATTAAATGCATAAACAATAAACATATTTTCGTAGTAATTGACTTTTTATTTATTTTTTACGATCAAACGTCTTACTATCGTATTTTCTTATTAAACTTTAGACAAATTTTTTAATTAAATTTCAATAAATCGACAAAAAACAACTAGGACTATAATCGCTAAACAACCGGTTAAAAACTGATTGTTTACTTTAACTTAAGTTCACTTTTTCAACAAATAGTAATTCTATGTAACATATTTGTTGGATTAAACTTGATGTTTTATATATATATATATATATATAAAACATCAAGTATATAATTATATATATATATATAAAACATCAAGTAGTTGATGTTTTATATATATATAAAACATCAAGTAGTTGATGTTTTATATATATATGTATATGTTTGTATATATACGTTTATTTATATATGTTTATAGTTGATAATATATGTATATATGTTTATATATATACGTTTATTTATATATGTATATAGTTGATATATATATATGAACAACGTATATATATATATATATAACGCGTCTGCCTTATTCATAATATATATATATATATATATATATATATCCATGGTTTATCTATTATTATAATCTGTAAATTTAGATAAGACATTATAAAAAAACATTATGATGCATAATGCACCTAGTAAAATGTTTTGGCAAAGTGCTATATATGAATTACTATACATAGCTGTAGCTATAGCACGTTTTTAAATATATTTTTTAATGAGTATTTGATAAATGCATTGCATTAGATATAGGCATAACTTTTAGCACTTTATAAAACTACAAAGCATTGAATTTGACTTAGGAATTGAACTATCAAACCGTACTTTACATGCATCAATTATAATGACATATGATGTATGAAAAAATATGATGAATAAATTTAACAAAAATTTAAATCAGAATATTAAGCATTTTAAGCATAATATAATAACTCATCATATTATGCCTCCAGGCATATATATATATATATATATATATATATATATATATATATATATATATATATAGAAAATTATGAAAAAAATCAACAATTGAAAGGACGATAAAATGATAATACAGTACACAAAAGCGTGCCTTAATAACTCATAACTCAGAGCAATAATTTTGACTAGCATAGATGAACAAGCGTTTAAATTTCAATTGTATATGAGTTATACAATTAATTAAACTACAGTGTATGCAATTCATGCAACCCCGCTTTCACTATGTCCTTCTCCACCAGCTCTCTCCATCCCAATCGCGGACAACCCCTTCCTATCACTACTTCAATCTCGAACTCCAACGCTCGTCTAATCCCGACCCTTTCATCTCTTCTCAACACATATCCATACCACCGCAATCTCGATCTCCTTACCAATTTCCTCATTCAGTCCCATCATCGACATCAGCTCTGTACTACTCCTCCTATCCTTCACTTCAACCCCACACATCATCCTCACCATAGCTCTTTCAGCCCTCTTTATTAAAAATGTAAATTTTTTTTGTAATACTCTTATGTGGCTCATAAGTCATTGAAATTTCTAGAAAATAACTTGAAATACTTTTTTAAATTTTGGTTTAGCAAATAAAGCATGTCCTCGTTTGAGGACGCTGGTTAAATAAAGTTCATAAAAAAGATGAACAACATTTTTTCTTTTATTTTCAAAAAACAACATTTTTTCTTAGATAGTTATCTGAAATATTTTTTCCAACCATAATAATGAATTTAAATACTTTATTTTTAAAATTTATTGTGCTATTTTGAAAAACAAGAAATACATAACGTTACATTGCACTTTTTACAGAATGTTTTTGGTTTTCCAAAGCATGATACCCAGTGAAGATTAAAAATCCCAAAAAAACTTTTATATCTTCTCCTGTGACAATAAAATTTGGATTATTCTTATCGTTTGTTGCATATCTCATTGTTTCTCTAACAATGAATTCAATGATATTATCATCAAATATTTTTTCAAATGTTTCCAACATGGAGCAAGACTTCAACTATTTGTTTAAATTATTAAACATTTTATCAGCGTTATTTCTAGAAGACCAAATTTATATTTTGGTGACTTTTTTTGCCATTTGAGAGTTTCAGCACATATTCGCTTTGAAGGTGGTATGTCGTGTCCAGAAGTAGATGACTGTTTTGCTAAGGAGACTGTATCTTCTTCATCGGATGGTACATCTAGTTCCATAGTTCCAGCAATGTCAGCAACTATAGGTGTCCCTAACTCCTCATCATTTATAGTTTCCTTATCGGTTAGTTCGTCTACTTCGGGTGGTAAAGCCAGAATATCAGCTTCTATTTCTTTAGAAAACGCATACTCAATCGCTTCTTCAAGATTTAAAAAGTTTTTTCGTCTCATAATTCAAAAAGCTGCAATGAAATAATGCAAAACTAAATTTAAAAAAAAAGCTTCAAAGGCCCAGTGTACTCAACTGAGGACAGTAAATTAAAAGTTTATTTTTTTTAAAATATTCAATTAATTATTTTGCATTCTATTGTAAGTATAAAATAGGATTATAGACTTCATGAAGAAAACAAAACATTTCGCTTACTTCTTTAAAAAACGGCGAAAATAGATTGAAAGTTTACCAACGCTATAAATTAAAAGTGAAAACAAGTTAGGAGTAGTGCTGTGCGAAAAATTTTAATATGATGAAAATGATTTCATATCCATGTAAAAAGGATAACATTCATGTTACTTTTTTATTGAAATTAAAAGTCATAAAACTGAGTAACAGAGTTTTACAACAATTTTACCAAGTGTCCTCAAAAAAGAACGCTAATGGATTAAGAAATGTTCTATATATGTTATATATGCATCCAAGTAAACGGTCAAAGTATTATATTTTAATTAAATGGAATTCAATGTATCTATTAAATCTAACATTAAGTCTGACAAGAAATGGAAAAATTGTATTTTTTTACAGCACTTACAAATTTAAAGATATATAATGTTTCATAAAGTTCTTTTTATTCATTTGTATAGAATTAAATATATTGGCAGTTTGTATAACTTATATATTATTTTATATTTTTAAAATTTTAACGCTTGTTTATCTATGCTGCTCAAAATTATTGCTCTGAATTATTAGGACACGCTTTTGTGCATCGTCTTGTCGGCCGCTCAATGCTATATATAAGCATCTCCAAGAGTTGTAAAGGATAATTAGCATATATTTTGCTAAGGGGTAATTATTTATTAATACTCTTTGTAAAAAGCACATCCGAAAGTTGTAAGGGTTAATTACCATATTACGTATATGTTCCATTAAGCTATCGAAATTCATCATTAATAAATACCCTTTCCATCATTGGTACACCGCCCATTGTATTTCTTGGTGTAATGTTATCAGTGAGAGAAACACATGCGCCCTGAGAACTACAAATGAGCGATGTACACCTAGGTGTGCAACATCTTTTTTTAAAACATCAAATCGGTTCGTTCCACGTTAATTCAATTGTTTTGTGAAAATTTTGTTCAAAGGATCGACATTTTTTTGTTGATGTTTTTGAAAATTCGTCTATCGATATTATATGAACAATGTATCGATGTTTCGTAATATCGATATATCATTTGTATCCTTATCAAAAAATATGATTTATTTACTATAGACAAACATTGACCGCGTCTCTAACAATTTTTCAAGAGTTCAGCAGCAGTGTTTACCGCGGATGGAAATTTATCCAAATATTTTGTAGGCTTTTGCAGTTGTTTCGATGGATTCCGTTTATTTGCAAAAAATATTTGGAGACAGTCTGACTGAATGTTTAACAGAAGTTTGCCTGAAAAAACCGCTTGATCCGATAGAATACATCGCACTCTGGCTTTACAAACATGACAGCAAATTGAAACAAGAAGCTGAGGTCGTTTTTAAGTATGATATGATAATATGATGGCTTCTCGTTGTTGAGTATGAAATGATGTTATGATGACTCCTCGTTGTTAAGTATGATTCCACGTTTTCTCGCTGTTAAGATTAAGATATACGTCATAAAGTATTTAAAAATTGAATTTGTTTACGGTATAAAAGAAGGATTTTTACAAATATTTTGTCTTAATTTTAAATTAAAAATAAATTAGATCATACTAATATGTAATAGCGCGTAAACTAATCCCGACCTACCCTAGCCTAAGATAAAAGTTGTTTTAATGTAAGTTATAATAATACGTTATGATAAATTACTTTAGGATTGTTAATGTCTAAGTTTCAAAACATTGAGTTTGTTTTTAACCAGTGAAAAATTAAAACCATAAAATTTTTTTTACAAGGGAGTAGTTTTAGGGCGTATTCTAAATCTAAATTAATCCAAATTGAAATTTAGTAACACTATAAATTTATTTATGTATTATTTATGTATTATCTAAAAAAAGTTTATATAACATTTGCTTTTTTTTATCCATCTTTCATCGTTTATGAACGATATGATATACCCCCACCGATGTCAGTTAGAAGTTGCCCTTGTCACTTCTTCACAGAATAACTTTGTATAGTTGCCTATCCAAGTTAATTGTGTTTTTGTTTCTGCCTTATTTTGGGCATTATAAATTATATCGTTTTCTAATTTTTTCTCAACTCCCCAACGTGAGGGCCAAAATTCTCATTTTGTTTATTGATTTTAATAAATTGTATTTGTTTAAATTTTTCATGCATAAATTAGTTTTAATTTTTTTTAGTTTTAAATTTTTCGTCAGTTTTTTTCAATTTTATAAATTTTCAGCTATTCCGCATCTATTCTTTTCAAATGCTTGTATTTAGCGTTTAATTTTTTTTTGTCGATTTTTTGCAATTGATGCCATATAAATTCGTTGAAGTTGTTGTTCCAGTTTGGTTGTCATTGGCCATGTTTCTGCACCATATAACAACACCGGACGTATCACATATTTATAAAGTCTTGATCGTAGTGGTAGTGGGATGTCACGCCGCATCAATATAGAGGCAAGGAGATGCCATTTATTCCAGGCTGCACGTATGCGTGCTCGAACGGCAGCTTCAGCTGTTCCAGTACAATCCAGAACATCTCCTAGATATTAAAACGATGTGACTTTCTCTACCTTAATGGCTTCAAAAACAGTGCTATTTCGAATTTGTTGTTCTGGATTGATGCAAGCAGGACAAACTAAATTGGACACTTTAGATAAAGAACCAATTATTTTTGAACAACGTTTGTGACACCACTGGTTACACTGCTGACACTTGATTGAATTGTTACCTACACCAGCTTTACAAACTGAACAGGGCCATCGTCCAGTAGCTTTGGATTGGATGGGTTCACCAGTGTTCATTGCTTTGGTTTTGCTGATGTTGACTTTGAATCCATGATCGGCGAGTCTGGTGTTCCAATCTTCAAACATCTGCGCTGCATTCTGCTCAGACGTGTCTGTTAAAACGATATCATCAGCATATACTAGATTCCAAATGTCACCAGTGCGTATCGGTTTTGTAATTTTTTCCATCACAGTTATAATAACAGTGGACTGAGAATCGAGCCTTGGTGAACTCCATCGTCGATGTCAAATGCATCTGTGTTTCCAACCGTTGTGTTGACGAGAGTCTTAGTATTCGTATACATTTCCATCACAAGTCGAACAAGATATTCTGGAATGAGTTGTCGACGTAGACTCTACCTGATTGCTTCACGGGGAACTCGATCAATGCTTTTTCAAGGCCTACAAAAATGTGTGATAATTGTTGATGCTTTGCGAGGTACTTCTCTTGCAGTTGCCGAAGGATGTGAATTGCATCAATTGTTGATTTCCCCGCTAGGAAACCAAATTGATAATTTCCGATTGTGATGCACGTCGTTAATCTTCTCTCAATGATTTTCTTGACAATTTTTAGGGAGTGTTCTAACAGACGTATACCCCGATATGATGAACAGTTCAATGGATCACCTTTGCCTTTTTATAGCGGGACTGTCATGCTATAGCTCCATTCAGTTGGCATTGAGCAATTTCTCCAGATTTCACGGCAAAGTTGTGGTAACGTTTGGACACCTGCAGTACCAGATGCTTTGATAATGTCATTTGTGAGTTCAGAGGGCCCTGCTGCCTTTCCATCCTTCATAGCTTTCAGAGCTTCTGTAAGCTCCTCTATAGTGTTGTCTGGAATCGGACCTTCGATGGGTGGAGCGTCAAAGTTAACATTGATGGGATTTGTTTCGTTTAACAGATGGTTGAAGTATTCTCTCCACTGTAGCTTGATCTCATCTTGTTCAAGAACCATCTCATTTTTGTCATTTTGATACATGAGTCACCAACTATGTCTTTTTTCGTACGCTTTGCTTGTTTTGCTATACGATACAGAGATTACATTTGTTCACCTTTGCTTTTAGTGAGCCACTCTCTGTACTGATCTGTCCAAGCCAGTGCAACTTGACGTCTTGCATGGTTGTTCTTCTCACGGAAAATTTTATGGTCATCAACAGACTTTGATTTTTGCCATTGCTTGTATGCAACTTTCTTTTCAGCTATTGCATTTTGTACACTGTCATTCCACCACCAAGTGTCACGTTCATGCTGACGTTTTGTACCAGTTTTCCCACAAACTGTAGTTGCAGCGTTTATCAAAACTGTTTAGTATGTACTCCAATCTGTACTGGCTTGCGATTGGTGGTCTAACTGTGTGGCGACAATCTGTTGAAATTTTTCTCGATGATTATTGCTTTTCAGCTTCCACGTTTTGATTCTCCGAGGCATTTGTTTAGACTTATGTTTTGACAGTTCGACAACCAGGTCTGCCACAAGGAGTCTATGTTGGGCGACACATGATTAGCCATGTATAACTTTGACGTTTTTGAACAGCCTTCGGTGTTGTTGCTTGACAGCGAAGAAATCAATTTGCGTGGCTGATGGTCCACTTTTGTATGTTATGCGATGTTCCAACCTCTTTCTAAAATATGTGTTCAGTAAACAAAACCCGTGACTTTCTGCAAACTCAAAGAGGCGGTTGCCATCTTCATTCCGTTTTCCATAGCCAAAACCGCCATTTACGTTGTCAAAACCATCTGTTTTCTCTCCAACGTGGCCATTTAGATCGCCTCCAATCAGGATTGTTTCAGATTTTGGTATTGTTGAGATGGTGTCAGAGAATGCAGTCCAGAAGTCATTTTTCATCTCTTTTGATTCGCCTGTCTGTGGTGCGTATGCAGAAAAAATAATCATTGTTTGCTTTTCTATGCGAAGCTTGATCTACATGAGACGTGAATTACTCTTTTTAATATCCAGTACTTCTTGGGCTAGCGGTTCTCTGACAAAAATTCCAACACCATTTTTGGCCGTCTTTTGACCATACCAGAATAGTTTATATTTTTCTTTGTCTGAGTTGACATGACAGACACCATTCGATTTCCATCGGGTTT